AAGGTTAATACCTACGTATGTTTATTAGAATTCAAGAAATTTTTACCAGACGTATCAATGAGTCTATGTATATGAATTCGAGGATCCTCAGCTCATTGTTGAACCTGCCTCTGCAGTCAGTTGACGACTCAAGCTGATAATTTAATCATTTTACTAGTAAGGGACACTGAAAATATATGATAAGCATTATTAAGATCAGATAAACGTATGTAGGTGTTCACATTTTTTTGTCAGTAGTATATAATCCATGTGAACGATGCTGTGTCCTTTTTGTTGGACATCCTGCTATATTAATGGTATCCTATTATACTTCAAATTTGACCCTCACCGTTGGGATCCCGGAAACGGTAAGAGATACGAAGACACTTAAATGGGGGCAAATCTGTGCATTTAGCTAACAAAACGAGGGTTAGAAAGTTTCTAAATTCGAAGTACTTCCTAAGTACTTCCCCAAAATGGTTGTAATTTTTTTCTTTACTTTATTTGTAGTGAGATCTCAAAATAAATTGCACATTAACATTGCCACATTTTCTCCGTCGTCTCTCATCCTTCAACCTCAATTTTACTTTTTCCTAGAGACGTCAAATTGGATTTTTCCACGGGTGAATAAAGTTTATAATTCTGATCCAAAAATACTTGACATTGCCAAACTTTTAGAAAAATAGAATTTCATAGATATGCCTTGCAATTATCATATAGTCATTTTTTGTTGTTTGTTAGTAATAGCTACAAAAAAACGTAAATTAATCTATTATTGAACCAGCTTAACTAGAGAACCAGTTTCCTGACCTTCATACACTGCGTTTCTTACATATTTTTAGGTTTTTCCTTCTGGATTGTAGCTAAAAGGGTTCACTGTCCCAGTTGGACATATATCATATCAAAATTGATTAGATATGCCTCCATAAACAAAATATATTTTTGTTGCTTTGGATTGTCGGAAAAGTCATGACGCTTTTTTTTGTTTATTTTAAGGCCATTTTATTCATATACAGCACAAACTTCAATCAATAATGTATTGCCCATTTTGATCGATGACCTTTCGCCATCTTTCAGGCAGCTTCATAATTCCTCGCTCGTAGAAGGATTTGTCTTTACCGGCAAAAAATTGAACAAGGTGCTGATGTACAGCTTCATCTGAAGTAAAGCGTATTTCTCGCAAGGAATTTTGAAGCGACCGAAACAAATGAAAATCAGATGGAGCAAGATCAGGCGAGTATGCTGGATATGGTAACACATCCCATCCTAACTCCAATAACTTTTGACGAGTGAGCAAACTTGTGTGCGGTCTCGCGTTGTCATGGTGGAACACAACTCCTTTGCGATTAATGAGCTCCGGACGTTTTTGCATGATGGATTGTTGCAAACTGTCCAATTGCCGACAATACACAGTTGTATCGATGGTTTGGTTCTTTGGCAGGAGTTCGAAAAACACGATCCCTTTAAAATCCCACCAAACAGAGAGCATCACCTTTTCCTGATGACTCTCTGCTTTCGCGATAGTGTTACGCGTATCTACACTTCGGGACCAAGACCGTTTGCGAACCACATTGTTGTAAACAATTCACTTTTCATCTCCCGTTATCAAGCGCTTTAAGAAAGGATCGTTTTCCTCACGTTTAAGGAGCATATCGCAGATGTCTACACGCGCCGTCAAATGAACCTCTTTCAGTTCGTGTGGTACCCAACGATCGAGTTTGCTTACGTATCCCAGTTTCTTCATATGGTCGTGAACGGTTGAATGATGGATTTTTAAGGTTTCTGCAATTTTCCGTGTGGTGTAATGTGGGTTTGCTCCTACCAATGCCTTTAATTCGTCACTATCAAACTGAGTAGGCCGCCCTGATCGAGGTGCGTCATGGATATCAAAATCCCCATCTCGGAATTTTTTAAACCATCTCTGGCATTGCCGTTCTTGTAGTGCATGTTCTCCATAAACCTTTCTCAACTTTTCACACGCTTGTCTTGCGTTCTTGCCTTTGCGGAAGTAATACAGCAAAATGTGACGAAAATGCACAGTTTGGTCGTCCATCTTCAACGTGCTCTAAAATCGACGAGACTCAAATAAATCACTTAATTTTTTGGTGCAAATGAAGCTTGAAGTGTCAACTGTCAAACTACACAACCAACATACAAATGTCATTGACTCACGTACTTCCAACCATGCAATTGCATACTTTGTTGCATATACGTCATGACTTTTCCGACAAATAGTTTCCATGCTTGAATGATACCTCAATGTTTGGTAGTTATTGATCAGCTTTAAGTTTTTTTCTGTTTTCCAACCACTTCCTCATCATTTGATATTTTAGATTATAGGTAACGTTTTGCATTTGTTTTAGTATATCCATTCCTATTGATTTCAGTGCATTAGAGAACATGCTATCATCGATACCTCCTAAAATGTTTGCAGGTACTTTGCGATCCTGCTCACAATTCATTTGAAGTTCATCTTGGAATAAGTCTGTATTTGATAATTTCACGCACCATTGGAGCAGCTGCAGAATCATCTTGTTCCCTTCCTTCCATTTTGATGCTTTTATGATCAATCTGACGCACAGTTTCTTCAGACACTCTTTTCAAAAGCTCGTTTTGTATAATTATCAGACCAGACCTCAGATTGAACATAGTAACAGAGTTTGGAAGATTGTGAAGAAGGGCAATAAACCGAGCAGTAAACAATGCACAGAGAAAAGGCAGGCCTTGCAAACAAAATAACAGGTAACATTACTGACATCTGTTATTGCAATGAATAAAATTTTCATTTCGAGTTCAGGTTTCGCCATACCTTTTTGTTTCCTTTTCAACAACAAATTCATAGACAACTAAAGAGATTTACCACTGCATTTAGAACTGAAAAATCCATTTTACTTTATAAAATTCCAACACACCGTCCATATGCTAATAAGGTCAATGAAGTCCAGAGAAGAAACCTCGAATTGAAAATTTGACTACGGCATATTGTAGAGGAGAAAAAGTGACAATGTTAACAAGTAATTTACTTTGAAATTCTATCTCAGGTTAAGTCAGGAAAAATAGAAAATGATTTTGAATAACAAGCGAAATAATGATAATTTCAAGGCCTACCAAGAAAATTCTGATTTTTTAAATTAACTAAGATTTGGCAATTTCAATATATGGCATATTATACATTTTTGTAAACAGAATTAAAAACTCTATTCAACTATGTAAAACTCCAATATGGCGCTTATAAGTAAACAAAGTTGATGCTGGAGGACACGAAACGTCATATTGAAATTCTAGTTATGCTATATTGTAAAAGAGAAAAAGTGGCAATATAAATGTGCAATTTATTTTGAAATCCCATTAGAAATAAAGTCAGGAAAAAAATAAAACGGTTTTGTGGAAATTCAGTTTTTTCCGTCTCTCCCCGGAAATGCTTTCAATTTCGAAACTTTCCAAGCGGCATTTTGTCGATTATCTTAATGCGCAACTTTGCCTCCATTTGAGCAGCCTTCAAACACTCTGTATAGTGGGAACAATTATTAAAATGTGGTGGAAATTAGAGAATACCCAGAAACTCACTTTATAGTGACGAAATTATTCGTTTTCACTTCATTTTTACAAAATGCAAATTATCATTATTTCCTATGTGTTACCCCGTATTTGTTTGGTATTTCTGTAATACCATAGTAGTCAGTTTACTAAAGTGATTTGGTTTCATAGTACCATGTAGCTGTTTTGAATATTCACGGGGAATATACGGGAACTGGCAGGGTCATTGTGCAATTTAAGTTAATCCGGCTACTTCCGTCTCTCTCCCGAAGTACTTTGAATTTAGAAACTTTCTGAGCGGCTACCTAAATACGCAACTTTACCCCATCCAAGAAACTTCATATCTGAATGACATAGCGCGAAGCGCCATCTATCTCACCAGAATTGAACCATTGTAAATCGCGGACCGCTGCTATCATTTCCCGTTCTCGTTCAATAGCAGTGCCGTTAAATGGCTGACAATACGATTCTGGCGGAATACAGAAGGGTCTGCTAGCTGAGGCTTCAAGAGGTCAAAACATAATGAGATGCCTTCGTCTGTCCGACCAAGAAAAGAAGTCAGCCAACCATGGACAGTTGTTTCGTGATTCTTAGCTACTCATTAGCATGGTATAGGCTTGGTCTCTTATCTCTGAACGAACAAACGAAAGCATCTCATTTTGTTTTGACCTGTTCAATGAGGCTAGCAGACCCCTGTGTGTTCTGCCAAAATCATACCATCAGACATTTAGCGGCACTGCTATTGAACGGGAACTGCGACGGTTCCAACTAACAGCAGCGGTACGTGATTTACAGTGGTTCGATTCTGGTGCGATAGATGGCGGTTCGCGCTATCTCATGCTGACAAACCGCACCTTCGGTATAGAGAATCAATGTGATGCTTTCGTTTGTTCGCCAGTTCCGAGCTAGCAGCCGTTGCGAGTGTACACTTGTGCGACTGCGACTTACTGTGCGATCTTATTGCCATTTTCATCGCGATATGATTGCTATTTACGATGGCGAGAATCGAGATGCTGATAAGCCAGCTAAAGCAGAAAGAAGATGCTTTTACCATGCTTGCAGAGCAGATGAAGAACCTGCAAGAAGCTTTCATGTAGGCAAAACAGGAGATAGAGGAAGTCAAAGGGAAGCTCCTCAAGGCGAAGAGGAAGGCGAAGAAGACCCTAGCAGAAGAAGAAGACGAGGACCAGCAGACCACACCGGACAATGAGATGGAAGTGGACAGCCAGCAACAGGACGACACAGAAGAACAGAAGAGGTCAGCCGACAAGAGCGACACGGACTACAGTGTCGTCACCAGGCGGAAGAAAAGAGTAAGGGTTTCCTCCTCCGACGAAGACGATGCACCCAGGCGGCCAAAGAAGCCAGCTGCCACCCAGAAAAAGAGTCCTAGAGAAGCCAGGACCATCGTATCCCCCATGTCAGGAACAGGAGTTACACCAATCAACATTGAGGGCACCGCTGATTGGTCATCCTTAAGCAGGATGATCAACAATAAGGGAATCCAATTCTCTAAGGTGAGGACGGCGGGGAACAGTGTGAAGGTGTTTATCAACACACCCGCAGACTACCGGCAGCTAGTTACCCTGCTAGACTCAATGAAGAGGCCCTTCTTCACCTACCAGCTGAAGGAGGATAAGATGGACCAGATGGTGATTCGAGGACTTACCAGGGAGATGTCTACCGAAGACATCAAAGAAGATCCAGTGAGCTAAGGGATCGCAGACGCCGAGGTTCAACAAATGAAGACCAGGAACACCAAGCAGCTGCTACCGCTCTTCCTCGTGAAGACGAGGATGGCGGAAAAGCTGCAGGAGGTCCAGAGGCTGGATATGTTCACGGTCAGCTTCGAGAAGAAAAAGTGATCGACCGAGCCCAGCGAATGCTACCGCTGCGAAACTGTAGTCTCGCTGAAGGGTGCGTCAAAGGTGGTGAGGACCACAACAGCACCAACTGCATTCTGCCAACGCCGCCAACAGGGCAACGAAATGCCAAGTGCTGCCTTTGCGGAGAAGGACACCCAGCCAACTACAAAGGATGTAGTAAGGCCCCGAGGATAGCTGCTACTGCCCCCAAAGCAGCCTCCACCTCAAATAGGACGTCTTACGCTGAAAGAGCGACGAAAATAAAGTCCACTTCTGCCCAGCAGCCGTCACTCCTATTGGAACTACTGCGCAGAAGTAACACGGCGATGACAGACTGCTAGCTATGATGCAAGCCATCATAACCCGCCTGGATGCACTCGAGGCCCAGAAATCCAGGAGATACTAGACCAGTACCAACCAGAGGTGATGGCCATCCAAGAAACTAAATTGGACGATGCCCATACACTGACGTTCTCGCGGTACGAGACGTACCGCTACGACAGAAGAGGCAGAGGTGGAGGAGTCGCACTACTCGTCAAACGTACCCTGACGAATCATGTCCTCGAAGACGCCGCAGACATCAATGGGGACGCAATCACGGTCCAGGTCCATCACAACCACCGTACAGAATCATCTCCCTGTATGTGCCACCAGGGGAGGCCCTAGACGAAGATGACGTCACTGACCTCCTGAGAGGCCTAGGAGCACGCATAGTCGTCGGAGATCTAAACTGCAAGTCTCCGGCATGAAACAACAACGTCGAAGGAAGGAATGCAAGGCAGCACCACGAACACGTCGATACCTTGGCGGAGGTCATCGTCGGTCCGGAGCAACCAACCTAAATTCCATTCGGCCTTGGGCGACCTGCGGTACTGGACATAGCCATCCTCCGCAACATCAGAGAAGAGTTCGAGATAGAGAGCCTGGAGGAAGGATCGTCGGACCACAACCTGATCCTACTAACGCTTGGCACAGGGGCTGCAGCTCAAGATAGCTTGACCACCAAACGGACGAACTGGAATGACTACAAATCGAACGTCCAAAGGACTATCATCCAAATTCCATCCATCCGATCAGCGGAGGAACTGGACAACGCAGTAGAGGAGCTGGAGAATGCTGTCCTGCGAGCGAGGACAGCACCCACTCCGAGACTACGGCAGTTCCAAGACACTTAAATGGTCCAGCATCGCACCATATTAGGCACCTGATCAGGGAGAACAGAAGACTCAAGCGAGTACATCTCCAGCTGTTGACAGAGGAGTCGAGGATTGCGAGAAACAGAGCATCGCTAGCTCTGAAGGACGCACTCGAGGAACTCCAAAACAGCAGATGGAATGCAGCCTGCGCGGAACTAGAGACCCAAGATGGTACGGCCTGGACTATGCAACGAAAATTTCGTCGTCAGCGCACCACGATCCCCACACTTCACGTCCAACGCGCCAGTGAAGAAAAAGCCGAAGCATTAGCCGATTCGATAGAATCCGAATGCAGGCTCAATTACCATGAAGACGAGGACGACAACCACGAGGAGGCCGTAGAAGTCGTAGCTGAAATCATGAGGAGACGACCACCTGGCCAGGAGACGGATCACCCCTCCAGTCCAGAGGAAATCCGCCTGATCATCCGCAGGTTGAAGGTCAGAAAGGCGCCAGGAAGGGACGGCATCAACAACAGGATGCTGAAGAAGCATCCCTCCAAAGGCATTGCTGCGCTCACCAACATCGCCAATGCCACTCTGAGACTTAACCACTCCCCGCGGCGGTGAAGCCCAGGTTATAATGCTCACCAAGCCAGGCAAGGACCGGAAGTTGCCTCAGAACTACCGGCCCATCAGCCTGGTTTCCTCGATGGGCAAAGTAGTGGAAAAGGCTATCGCCGTTCGACTAGAGAAGCAGAAGAACTGGAACTTCTCCCCCCAGAGCAATTCGGCCTAAGATCTTCCCACAACACGAAACTTCTAGCGCTACGACTGACAGAAAACATCACCAGTGGCTTCAATCTCCAGGAGGCAACCGGCCTCGTCCTGGTGGACGTGGAACGAGCCTTCGACCGAGTTTGGCACGATGGACTCATCGCCAAAACGGAAGCCGCCGGAATCGATGCAAACATGTGCCAACTGATCCAGAGCTGTCTAACACAAAGATGGTTGACGGTGAAGATTGGTACATGCCACTAAACAAGACGACAGCTGGAAACAGGCGTGCCCTAGGGGTCAGCCTTAGCCCCCCTGCTCTACAACATCTACACTCACGACGTACCGAAGTGAGCTGACACAATGCTGGCCCTATATGCAGACGACACTTCTATAGCAGCCAAGCATCGACGACCCGAGATCATCCGTAGGAGACTACAGGATGAACTGGACCACATCCAGGACTGGCGCGTGAAATGGAAAATCCGCATCAACGTCCAGCAGACGCAGGCAATCTTCATCCAACGAAGAAGGATTGCAAGACCTCTCGAAGCATCCATCTTCGACGAAGATATCCAGTGGAGCGACAAAGTCAAATATCTGGGGATCGTATTTGACAAGTCCCTCACCTGGAAAGATCACATAGAAGCTACGGCTGATCAAGGCCATCGCCAGACCTCAGCTCGCTTACGCCTCCGCGGTCTGGGGGTACGCTGCTCCCAGCTATCGCAAGCGACCTGCTGCTCTAGAGATGAAGCTACTCCGGATCGCTACCAGTGCACCATCCTTCGTAAGAAACTCAACCATGCGTAGAGACCTGCATTGGGACACCATTCACGAGTACATGAGGAATAAAGCGGAGAGGACCTTCCAGAAAGCTCAGGACCACCGGAACGAGTAGCTACGACTCCTCATGGACTACGATCCGGACGAGAGGCCTCGCAACCGCAGAGCCAAGTACCCTAGACCCAAGTCACAGTTGGCAGACGCTAACTGGAACCTTGACTAGGAGAACTCGCGGTTGTCCCCCCCCCCCACGGCGTGGAAGCAGAGGGCGAGGATCAGCACTAGCAGGACCAGAAGCCATCTGGAGCAGGACCCACTAGGAGCAGGAACCACCAGGACCAGGACCCATCAGGACCAGGACCAACCAAGACCAGGACCCATCAGGACCAGGTAACAAACAAGTAGCAGAGGACTTGAAACTCTTGATTTTTCGAAAACAAGAGTTCCAAGAGAACATAGAAAACCCTCTATCGATACTCGCTTAACGACATCGATAGAACTGTGCGAGGTAAAGGGAACCAACCCGGCGTTCCCAGAGACTGAAACACATGAGGAGACGTTGTAGCAGACCGCAGGTCACGCACAGCACATGGCCTACCGAGACGCTGATGAGTCGGGCCACGCGGAGGTTAGGGTTTAGTGGGTATTAGGTGGTCTCTTCAAGACAACCTGGAGTCCCACACACACCGTAGCTCGCATAAACGCACTCCCCCCTCACAAAAAAAAAACGTTTGTTCGTCCATGCTGATGAGTAGTTAAGAAGCACGAAAGAGCTGTACATGGTTGGCTGTCTTCTTTTTTTGGCCGGACAGACGAAGGCATCTCATTTTGTTTTGAACTCCATATCTGTTACAGTTCCCGAGATCCCAATGGAGCGGGGGGGAGGGGCTGCGAGCGATTCGAAACACCCAGTATTAGCCCAGATAAGCACGTCGGAGTGTATCGAATTGGCATCTCAATAAATAATGCTCTATTCACCGGCACAATACAGTAATTAAAACAAATAGTGCACGAACGAACGTCAGTAAATAAGCTGACTTCAACAACTTACATTAAAAGCGTCGGCCATATCGCTAAGCTGCACCATTCTTGGAGCGAAAGCCCCATTAGTATAATAGTACATAATTCATCTCTCGACTCATCATGGTTTGCTTCCAACTTTTGACGGATAATCATTCCGTTTCTCACTTTCCATCTATGTACGTTTGTCTTGCAATGGGTGGACTTCGAGGAATACTTAGAACTGGGTACAAAATATGAACACAGCATATAGTCTAATCATATTAGCAAATTACTCCGAAATATTTCTAAAGTCTGGTTTTATTGGCAAAAGTTGTTCAACGGAGTATTTAAAACATGGACGCTTAAAATGGGTACACTAATTTTTGTGGAAAAACTTTTTATTTGACAACAAAGAATGAAAGTGTTGGCTGGAACGAAAACACTTCATATAAAATTGTTAGGCATTTATGAGACATACAAAATGAGATCACACGTAAAAAAGTCCGACTAATAGCAAAAATGTTATGGCTGAAAAACGAGGCAAAATGCAGGTTTTGGTACTTTTGTTAGTAATGCGACGATAATTTGACGCAGCTACTTGAAATTCTTCAAATCCGTAGGATTCATACTTCTAAATAAAAAAAAAAACAATTTCTTTTTGAGAATTTCTAATTGTTTATCCCAAAAAACATGTCTTCCGGACATCACTTCTAGTGCATTGATCAGTATACAGGATTCGTTCAAAGAGCATTTAATAGCAAAATACACGTGTTTACCTTACTGATATTAATCTCAAACCATTTCGAAAGATAAATGTTACTCTCATGCGAAAAACAAAGGTTACGTTTTTTTCTTCTAAACAAATTCGAACATTTCATATTTGTGAGTATTTGAACAAATAAATATAAATAAATATAAGTAAATAGCGTTTATTGCTCAACAGTTAAGGAAACCATTTACTGGACAATCCTAAGTTAAATCAAAATAACAAGAACAGAAAACATCTAAAGAAAAAAAGACAAACAAGAAAAAGAAGCAAAAAAAACATATCTTACTCAGGTGAGTAACATATCATTAATTATGCAAGCAATTTCTAGCTACTTCCAGAATGCTGTTCAAACTGTCAGCATGTATGTCGCAATAATTTGCT